GTCATAACATAAGAAAGAGGTACCTAATTATAATATTAAATTTTTATAGCATTATTATTATAACTATAAAGGTACAATAAATCTATTTATTATTGACTATTGTATTACATTTTATTATTTAATAGACTTCTATTAAATTTAATTTTATTATATTGTAATATGTTATTTAAGTAAGTAGGTACTTAACATTTTTTATAATATTATATGATTTTTTATATTACTTTAATGTATTTTTCAATACACTTTTATCACATTTATACTTCAATTTCGATCACGGACTAAGATAGAATCTATCTTAGTCCGTGATTTCGATATATTTTCATTAATTTTTATCGGGACTTTTTTTTCCTCGTTTCAGCCATGACATTGGTGATTGTACCTACTGTAGTGTTTTATAACCATGGTTAAAGCACAGAATAGGTTTAATCTATTCTGTGGTTAAGGTATCTAATATGAACACTGATGTAAACAAATTCGAGAAATCATCCTACGATACATCACGGTTATAGTATAATTGTGATAGGGTTGAGAGCATTTTATTACAGAAGGGCGGTAATATGATGTACGGACTATTGAGGCACTAAAACTTCTGCTGCCCTGGGCCCCAAAAATCTTAGTTGCGGCACTGTTATATACTATTACATTTCCACCGGATGTTAAACTTTAACTTTACGATAAGAGCATATTATATTATGTACAGATTTAAGATTTGTGTTATTTTTGAATAAAGGTAATACCTACTTATTATTCATGAATTATATTAAATACGAATTGTCTTAACAAATATTTTTAGGTGTTCATAGCGCATACACTGGGTTTTAAGTGTTCGATAGCATGCTGTGTAGAATCACTATAGGATTTCACTTATTTTTTTAAATTAACTAATAATATAATGTTGAATACTAATTTGGTTTTATATAGTTTTCTTAATATGATAGGTAGTTTAAAAATAAGCAGTTGTACCAATCTTCAAATCTAAACTGTGTTAAATATGATGCTGAAAGCCACTATTTATGAGGACATTTTGATAGCAAACTCCAAACATTCTTAACAGTTAACTGTTCGCAATCACTGAGGTCTGTTAACTTTTGTTAAAATGTATTAAATAAGACATAATGCAGTAAAATTTCCGTTAACGGTCACCTCTATAGGATTTTCACCTCTATGTAACGGTCAATGTTTTTGGTCCCGTCGAGTGTTATCCTATAGTGTTGTCTTACCTCTGTAGGAAGGTCACTTCTAAATAGCGGGCATTATTTACAGTCCTTTCGGTGACTGTTATATAATGGAAGTTCTACTGAAGTAGGTAATATTGATATTTGCGGCCCCTAGAATTTCGCCCCTGGCATATACCCTCTTGTTCTGCCCTGAATTCGGCCTTGATAGAAGCTAAAATATCCAACTAACATCAAAAAAAACATGCGAATCCAAGAAGTGCCGAACACAGTGGCGTATTTACGATTTTGGCGCCCTAGGTACACACATTTTGGAGCCCCTTTTTTTCTTAGTTTCCTTTTATTCATTGTCACAAAAAACTTTTAAGCCCCCTCTAATTTAAAATTTACTTTTTCTCTCAGTTAATAGTGCAGGGCTTGAAACCGGTATAAACCGTTATAAAACTGAAACCGAGACAAAATCAAAACCGAAACCGAAAAAAATTGGAAACTGGTATTAAATTCAATACCGACTCGAAAAAAATTGGATACCTGTATTATAATTAAAAACCGAAAATATAATTTAGAAAACGATATTTTTTTTGAAAATCTTTGTATCTGGACATTTTTGAAAGTTTACTTTACACAAGCCATCGGACGCTCGAACCAGCGATTCCCAAAAATTAATAAACTAAGAATGAACGTAAATAGTCCAGGTCTTGAAACCGATTTTAGAAACCGGTATAAACCATTTAAAAACGGAAACCGATGACAAAATCGGAAAAAATTGGAAATCGGTATTAAACCCAAAACTGAAACCGATAAAAATTGGAAACCTGTGTACAAATCGAAACCAAAACAGAAATTTTTCCAATCGGTTTCAAGCCATGTAAAAGTGATAATAGATAACCCAAAATGTATATTTTCCCCTTATTGCATTTCTGCTTCCATTAATTTAGAGAACACTTTTATTTTACCATTAACACTCCATTTATTCCTAATAAAATAATAAATTATAATTTAGATTTCAGCTTTTTAGCCTTTTTTTACGACAATTTAATAAAATACATTATATATATTATATAGAAATATGTATAGAAATGTAAAAGATATTATAAGAAAGATACAGGTAGGTATTCACTTATCAGTTATCACTAATATAATTTCTTAACAAATTCAATAAAATAAAAAAATAATTTTGTTATAACCTCTAGCGACGGGGCCCCTTTTAGGACTCAGAATTTGGCGCCCCGGGGCAATTGCCCCCCGTTGCCCCCCTCTAAATACGCCACTGGCCGAACAATAATAAATTATAATATATTTCGTTAAACTGAAATCGAAACAGAACAACATTATACAGACAGAAGTACAGAACTACAGCCTGGTGTAATACATCAATTGTTCAATGATTTCGATTAAACGCCAATGAAGTCGCAGCGTCGAAAAAAAAGGAAACAGTGGGAACACGGTGTTGAAATTAAAAATTTAATCAAATAGGTATTAGGTGCTAATAAATAATAATTAATAGGTATCGCCTATCAGACGTAAACCTGATAGGTACCTGAATAAGTAAAGTACCTATAGTAAACAATTAATAAACAAATACAACAGGTGCTCATATATTATAATTTGTAATCTATGTCTGTGCACTTTGTACTGATAAGTTATAAGTTGAAACAATAAATCGTCAATATTGAATTAATAGTATTTAAACAATAATTATGTGTTAATAATTGTATATGTAAATACGTATCATACATCTTTTTTAAAGGATGAATTATTATATATTACCTATATAGTATATATTATTTGAATAGAACTATTCCAGGATAACGTTTAAGTACCTAAAGACCCGTGTGTCCTTGTCAAATTGCTAAAAAAATCCCATTACTAAGAAAAAAAACTCAGTACCTATAGGTAAATATATAAAAGTTAATCGATTTATATTTTATATTATATCTACTCTCTTTCTGATCAGGCCCGGATTTAAACGTTATAAAAATACTCTAAAAATAACCAAGAATAACTTTTAAATTCAATAATGGTATTTAATAATTACGAACCTTTTTTTTGGTTTAGGTACCTACGCAAATGAGTGCCAAACTGTAAAAAACGGTTGAAAGAACCTTACTTATTATATTCAAGAATGCAAGACAATGAAAATAGTGTCGAAGATTTCTTAAAATATTAATCGCTATAATTTATCTCCTTAATTTTTATACTGGGGATTTTTTTCCAACTATACCTTGTACGTAACTTCAGCGAAAATTACGACATTCCGTCTTTATAAGTTTAAATATAAATATAATTCACTGGTTGGTTCTTTTCTCAAGCCACCACGTTATATAGAAAGAACATCACTTATGCTTAATGCTTATACCATTTTCATATTGTATAGATTGTAGTTTTTAAATAAAAAATAAAAATAAAAAATATATATATGTACGTTTTCAAGAACTCTGTTAAAAATTGTAACTGATCGAGATTTTGAGAACTAAATAGTAAATAAATAATAATAAATAAACTTAATAATACAATTTATTTTTGTTGAGTTTAGGATTATGTTTGTGCATCGATCTAGACAAAAATGACTACACTGCTTTTAGTAATAACTAATAAGTAATATTCTACTAACGTAAGGTACACTAATGACGTAGGTACACTGTACACATATTAAGTTATATTATAATGTAGTGCCTACAGACCTGCAGTAGTACAGTGCATTAAAATTTGGACTTATATACAGTGACCTATTGACCCTGTTATTGTAACACACAAACACATATGGCGTGATTTATCAAATTATGGAAAAACAATGATGCTGTTATGATTGCACAATATGATGATGCTTTTTATAAAATACCTATTAAATTATATTCAACATTTTTATATTTTGTAAAACTATAGCTAGGTATTAAGATCTCAACTCTTAAGGACAATTACCCTTACATAAATACTTATATAACTCGTTAACTATATGAAAGTATTCCATACTCGTTCAAATTTTGAATTACATACTTGTCAAGTGTCAAAATTAAAAAAAAACTGTCTGATTAAAAATTTAAAGTAAAAAGTTGCCTTCTTCACACGCAATAACATAAATCAACCGTACAATTTTTATCTTTCAGTGTTAAATAAAATCTGATGAGCAATCATAATCCCATATTGACGAAAAAAAGAAGTAGATGTAGAATGTTGTTAGTTTTTAGTGGCGTATTAAATTAATAGTTATTATACATTTTAAATTAACTATAAATCAATTATATATCATTGAAATTTTATAAAATATTGTAAGGAGAATTACTTTTTGTATTGTGCTAAGGAGTCAATACCCAGGAATATTATAAATTCAATACTTTTCATAACATGGAATCTATCACAGATTTTGAAGCTATACAAATAACATAAATTGGTTTTTTTAATATCCACATAAAAAATGTCCTTAGAAAAAAAAATCAATGCATTGTAGTAAAATAAAAATAAATATATTACGAAAAAATAACAACGTTAATAATATTAAACGTAAACATTTGGACAAAGTTGTTTTAGATTTGTCAGTTATTTTTAAACTTGAAAATACAATAAAAATATTTGTTATAATTTTAAAATGTCTGTATGTTTAGCAAAAAACAATCAATGTTAAACCCAAGAAGTAGTTCTTAGTTTATAGTTGGGTAGTAATAGATATTATAATATTTATAAATAAAAAGTAGTTCCAAAAGACATATTATTTTGAAAGTTTTTTTTTTTTTATATTTATAGCCGTTGAAATTAATAACTTAGTATAATGTTAAATACATAACACATATTACATACATTGCATAATAGACATATTAAATTAAATTATCAATTGGTACAACATTGTATCTTAGAATTATTTATCCTTTCATTGTTAGGAACTTCTTCTGGATCAATTTCAAGTTTTAAATGCACTGGTGGTTTTGAACTTTCTACTATTTCTATAAGGTTTCGACCAATATTTGTGAATAAGTCTTGAATACCTGAAAAACAATATAGGTTTTAGTTTTAATATTAATCAATTTTAAGAGGATTTCAGAGTACTATTTTTTGCTTTTCCAACCCATGCCCAATATAGCAATTTTGCGTTTTGCAGAACCAAGTTACTTTGATAATAATACAGTAGTCTGAATAATCTAGCCTTTGCTAATCAGGACAATCAATTCTTTGTATTAGTATGTAGTATGTACACATGAGTATTTTTATAAACATCAAATGTTATCTAGAAGTATATTATTGATAATATGTAAGTAAAATTCCTTATCCACCTAAATCTTGTTTTAGAGCCATTATATCGAGCCCTATTAAGGAAAAAGGGCGTAAGCGACAATTTTGGAGAAAATGAGATATTGGTATCAAAATTTTTCTAAAATTCTGACTCATCGAACTGTAAAATGGCTAAGCGACAATATAAACCTAATAATGTCATTTCGCTATTTAAAGATTGGGCGAAAGCGACATGTTGTTTAAATAACTTCAAAATTGATCGTAAGTCACATTAATTTCGAAAAAAATACGTAAGCAACTTGGTTGCATGGAGTAGTGAAAGACTAGTATAAGCGCCATGCACTAATCAACACGACAAAATGTTATTTGTAAGCGCCAAAAGTGAAAAGTGTAAGCACCATTGAGCTATATTCGAACATTTATTTTATTGTAAGCGATATAAGTTACACAATATGAAAAATATCATTTTTATTCTGTAATTCTATTTTTGAAATCATTTATTTATAACTAAGCTCATCTGATTTTCATGAAAATCCATCAGATATTCGATTTTAAAAGTGTTTTTTTTAGTTCCTGTAAAAAAATAAAAATGTCGCTTACGCCCTTTTACCTAATAAGGCTCGATATACGTCATTCCATTTAATCCGGATAGAGTCCAGCAGTGGCGAGCTGAAGGGCTCAGTTTTGACGCATGTGTCAATTTTTCAAAGGGGGGGATGCCACCTCGTTCAGTCTGTGGCGCAGAATTTTATGCTAAGGCCTGACTTCTTGACCACATTTTATTTAAAATATCGTAATATTGTTATGAGTTATAATGAGTGGTAGTGGCGGTGGTGATAAATACTTAATTATGAAAATGCGTTATTTAAAATTTAAGTTCAATCCGCTACTAGAGTCCAATACCATCAAGTCCGAATCAGCGAGACCCTATGTAGATTTGATATTATAGTAAATCAAACTTAAAGTTAAAATCATTATCAGTGTTTATTTATTGGATTTTTTACATATTTAAATTTTTTCCATATACATGATCATTTTTAAATTGTTAATTGTAATATTTTACAAACTCATAACTTGTGTAAGAATGTAAATATCACTAAAAAGTCAAAGTACAAACACATATAATGTACTTTAAGTTTGATAATAGGGAAATTCACTGTAATAATATTAAAGGTAACAAAATGATTCTACTGAATTCAAAATATGTAATGTAGAGTGAGTTAAAGAAAGAAACAAAAAAAATAGTGTACTGTAATACTCTTAAATAACAGTAATCAGTGTAATAGATTTATAAAAATATGATTAAATTAAATTTTGAACTAACTTATTTCTGGAAGATTTGTGTGTTAAAAAGTACAGCAGAGAATATGTAAACGTAGTTTGTATACATTATTATAATCTAGTATCTTGATTATATCTCACCTGTGTTTGAGTATACACTAGTTTCCCAATAATGAGCATTCACTGAATTAGCGAATTCTTCAGCTTCTTCATACATTATTACTCGTGTATCTAATAGATCAGTTTTGTTACCAACAACATAATAAACCACAGGCGTGTCTGTATTTTTTCTTACTTCTGAAATTAAAATAAATCTAAAGTTAATAATATATTATATAATATTATATTTTTGTATACACATTAAATTAATAACAAAAGTAAGTTCATGTTTTACTAATTTTAGAGTTTAAAATTGTAAAAATACCATTAATCCAATTTTTAACTTGATTAAATGAGTCTCTGTCTGATACATCAAAAATAATAGCGACTGCATCTGAATTTCTGTAATACATTGGTACTAAGCTACGAAACCGCTCTTGTCCAGCTGTATCCCAAACCTTGAAAAACAAACACAACACACAATAGTAGATTTATTATTATTATTTAATTTAATTAGGTGATTAAATATAAAACAAAATTAGGTACTTTTAAAGTAATTTGATAGTCCCGTAATGTAACTTTAGCATACATAAATGAAGCACCAATTGTTGCTTCACATTCCTTTTTGAAGTCTCCTTTTATGTATCTTGTGATTATACTTGATTTACCAACACCTGAAAAATGCAATTAGCGAATAATTTTTAATGTACCACATAAAATATCATTTTTTTAGACTTAAAATTAACAGTTTTTAAAATTTAGAAATTGATCATTAATATAAGGCAAATATAACTTGCTTGATTATAATTTCCTATTTAAATTAACTACAAACTTAATGCACATACTCTTAAATCAATACATGCAATTGATTATTATTTTTGTTTAATAAAATAATATTTAAAATTTGTGCTTCGACACAATAAGCAAATAAAATATTTTTTTAATATGAATTAAAATTTTTCTTTTTAGCTGATAGGTAGGAATAGGTAAGAATGGAACTGTAGGGTGGTCTTAATAGGTTAATAGTATACAATTTATATATTTTACACTTAATTTAGTTGAAAATGTTGAAGTAATAATAATATACATAATGGCAAAATGTTTCAAATCTATTGGTATTTTTCTATTTTTAAATAAAAACAAAATAACCAACACTGATTGAATATCCAATTTTGAATTAGAAACAAACATTTTATCAACATAATTAAATGAAAAAGACTGACAAATTAAAAGTTTCAAATAACAATCTATAAATTGGCTATTGATAATTTTGAAAAGTACCAGACATTTTTTTACATTTGACCCACTAATGTATCTAGAGTACCAAGTATCAACTAGATATATTTTATGATAGAAACCACTTGTTAAGTTGATGATTATACTTTTGAAACAATTTTCCAGCACTAATGCCCAGTTTTTTAATTGAATTTATTTGTCAAATTACAAGTTATTCAGATAAGAAAAAGTAGATAGTAATCAGTTTTTCCATGTCTGAATAAGCTTATTTGTCAAATATAACTACAACTTACGGATAATTTATCTGCTACTTTTTGTATCATATAAATGATATTCAGCGAATAACTTACAGCTGTTTACATTATACATTTATACTTATTCTAAACCAAAAAACTAACACATACTCAAAATAAAAAAACCATATCATTATGAGACCAATACATTCATTGTTCATTTCAATAGGTACATCAACCTAACCTAATAATTCAGAATATAATATTGTTGGTACCATAACTGATATTCTGTTTTTTTTTTTTAAAACTATAACTATTCATTAGTTACTCAGGCTAATCGATTATGTGTTCATAGTACATTCATAGTTCATAATAGGTATAAATAAATACAAATTAAAGTTTTGACACAATGGCTATGAAGGTCTAGATCAGTGTTTCTCAACCTTTTTATTGTGGCGACCCCCCCTTTTAAATTTCAATTTTTTAGCGACCACTACATATATATTTTTTACATACTCGTATGATTTAAATCATTGGATTGCGACCCTAAATAATAAGTTGGCGACCCCCAGGTTGAGAAACACTGATCTATACATCCCTATGATTATAAATTTTGGTACTACAACCTACAACTATAATAATTTAATTAAGAATAGAAAAATATAGTTTAGTGGGTAATGGGTATAGGTAAAGATAATATTTTGGAACATAAAAATAAAACATTATAATAATGTGAGTAAGTTTTAGGTTTTGGATAAATTATAACAATATAGAGATATACCTAAACCTAATCATATAATAATATAATATTATGGTGACTTTGGAGGAATCAGAAATCAAACATTGCAAATAATATTATTTGTAAAGGTCGCCACACACTGCAGCGGTGTAAAGGTAAAATTATTTCGTTTTGGAGGTGATTGTGACCGGCTTCACTTTGCTGTTACCGCGTCCAGCGGTAATCGTCACTGCTGCAGTGTGTGGGAACCTTTAGTGAATATGTGATATTACCTAGGTATAATAAAATAATAATGAATTATTCATGTTTTCTTAATTATTATACATCAAGTATACAATATGCAATACCAAATTACCAAACTTGTACAAATTTCTGTTTATTTTTATAAATTGACTTACCCTGAGATCCCATGAATACTAGTTTAGCTGTTAATCTCTTCATAGTTGATTATTATCACTATTTTTGTTTGAACTTGGCAAGTTTAATTAATAATTATTAATATAAAGTTTTCAATCTATCAAAAATTGGTTATAAAAATTACCTATAATAAATATTTTATATATTTGTAGGTATATATAATAAATAAAAATCAAACGTTAAAATTTACTGATTAGGATTAAATATTTAAATGTATCAAGTGATAACTATTAATTATTAAACTCTTATGGCTTCAACCAATTCAAACAAAGAAGTATAAATTAAAACATTTTACTTTTGACTGAGTAGGCAGTATGTAATATTAACCAGTAATAATGGTCTTTACTCTTTAGCTACATAACAAATTTAAAATTATGTTAAATTATTATTTTCTATTTATTATGCAATCAATAAAACTAAAGTAAGAGGAAAAAAATAAAAAAATAAAGAGTTAAGACAAAGACCTATTACATAATACTGTATTCTTGAATACGTAAAACCACATGGATTACTAATTTATCCATTTCATACTAATTTCCCTAATACCTTTATAATATAATCGACATTCGAATATTCGATACTAAAATCATAGAACATGCTATACTATAATATTATACGTTTATACAACATAATAATGTCTATACTCAACTGGTCAATTTGTACCAATTACCATTAGCTGCAATACCTATACCTAAGTCCTAAGAAGTAATAAGAAGGTGAACCAGGTAAACTGGATCTTATATTCTTATCATGCTCACAATCAACCATGATTGGAGAATCTTCTATTCTGTGCGTAGTCGAACCATATACATAAACATATTTATGAGTCGAACCCACGATTTAAGATATTATACTAGATATACAAGATGTATAAGTATATTGTCGAACCCACGGTTTTAGATAGAACATAGAAATATAGAATTCTATCTAATATTCTAATGATTAAACCGTGATGCCACTACCATTCTCCGGTTCATATATAATAATATTATATACCTTGCATTGTGATTTGTGGTCCACTGTTACCAATATTACCATAATGTTCTGTGGTTATTACCATCATGGAACCTCATTATCAGATTATAAGGTCTGTGATAATGACATAATTTTGCCGCCATTTCATCTACGATTTCTCCACAAGTATCTTTATTTTGGTCCTTATCATTTTTCGAACTACCATTCCCTGCCAACGATAATAAACATATTACAATTACTATTTACTACATATTATTTGATATTATTATGGTACATAGATATTAGTTTAGTGAAATGACAATAATGTATGATAAATATTAAAATAAAAAAATTAAAAATATTGCAAATTTACATATAGGTGTAAAATAACGGACATAGGTTTGTTATATTTAATACAGTATTTGGTGTAAAATAGCAATCAAAAAGCCTGAATATGGACTACTTGGATCCAGAGGAAGAATTTGAAATGATGCACGCTGATGAATTAGAAATGATGAATGAAATGGACTTTACAACCGATGGTAATTTGATTACATTTACATAATTGTATAGCTTTATTGGGTTTAATCAGTACAAATAAAAATAATTAATCTTTTTATTAAATTATTACAGCATTATTAAGCTTCTTAAATTTAATAGTAGATTTAACATAGTTTATGAATATGTCATTTATTCTGTATTAATTTGTCATATTATACGTCAAAATAAAATTCTATGGTACAAGATACTAGATTACAAAATGTACTACTTTTGCAAGTTTCAACCTTATCTGTACGTAACCCTTTCAGATTATTAAAGCCAATCTAACAATATGAATGGACATTTGGTTAGCATAAAGAAAAAGTTGAAATTATAGTAGTAAAACCGAAAATCTAGCTTTTGTAAACACATTGCAGAATTAAGAATTCAGACATAATTGCTAGCCAATGATAAAATGGTCACCTTGTGTCCTTCTATATAGTATATATATTTGTATGGCAACAATAATACAGTAATATTTAAAAACAAATGTATAAGTAAAATGAATATATTATAGTATTGTATGCAGTCCTTACTGATCCAAAGAGGGTTGCTCAAAGCAAATACTCTACGGCAGAGTCTACGCAATATGCAATTTTTCCCTAACGCTGAAACGCTAGAAACGCTGCCTTAAACAATATGTTGAGGAATTAATTCACATTAGCTACCTAGCATTATTTATTTTTTTTAAACATGTATTTCAATAAGTTAAGAACGAAAGTGAAAAAAATAATTTGTGTGAATCATCATTTTGGAAGTATTATATCCTTGAATCCTTCCACAGTTTGCTATTATACGTTTGTATGCAACACTGTACTTTACTGCCACGCTCAGTGCCTACAACAATTTTTTGATTTTTTTAACGTATTTATGTAGTGAAGCATTCGAAAATGATGGTGAAGTCAGAATTTGGCAGTTGTCGTTCGCGTGGTTTCACCACCATTCTTAACTGTCAATACATAAAAATAAAATTCAAATTTGTTATATAAAAAAAAAAAATAGGCACTGGGGCCGGCAGTAAAGTGTGGTTGTGTGCGATGCATGCATGTAAATACGTAAAATATGAAACTTTGGAAGAATATAACTTCCAAATAATAATTTCCTCAATTTATTTTTGCAACCATTTTTTAACTCGTTATTTATTCGTATGACATTAACTCGTTGAAATGCATGTTTAAAAAAAGAAAATGCAGGACGTAGCTTTAGTTAATTTATGCCATATTAAACAGTGTGTCTTTAAATTTGAAATATTAGGCACATTTATTTGAGGGTTAAAATAAGTCTTGCCACCAGTATATGGAGTATACAAAATACAAGACCTTAACTTTGCACCCCCCATAAAAAAATCCTAGATCCGCCTCAGATGTATGCAGGAAAATCTAAATTTCTAAGTCCAAGGCCCTAATCCATTCAAGTGCTTCCTTCGTAATTTCATTAATTCCACTAATGCCCAACTCGAACCTTCAATTTTGGGAATTTGTTTGTAATATTATGTCTCATAGTCCTACTATCATTGCCACAATCATATTCTGGGCTGTTCTTTAGTTTCAACTTGTACATCAGTACATCATATATTCACATCTTCTGAGTCCAATTTTTAATTGATTAAGAATTACCCATTTTTGTCGTAGGAGTTTGAACCCTTTTACTTGTTGTGTGGGATCCTTCATCAAATTTGTATGTAATACCGTATTGCCCAGCCACTCTTCCTGCCAATTTTTTGCACTGGATAACTGCAACTGAGTTAGTTCTCTGGCCTTCCTTGACTTTAGTCTTATATCTGGCGTATTTTCCAACATTTTGTAGAGGATTGAGTTCTTGTCGGTCTTAATAAATATTCTCACCAATGCTTCATTTCTTCTGATTTCGAGGGTGCGATATTTTAAAGCAGGGGTCTCTGACCTTTTTTTTACGGTGGGCCAAAATTGAGATATGCTTTGGCATTGCGAACCAACATTTTTAGAGGAATAGATCGGTTAAGAAATTGAAGAATCAATAAGGTTTATTAAGAAAAATGAATTTTTGTTTATGTACTTTTTTTATATTATAAGTAAGGTTTGGATTTGAAGGCAAAAGCCTTTTTTTTAATAATAATAATAGAGAAATAATTTTTATATAAAAATGTGTGTCATTTAATATGTAAGATGATGAACGTATTATTTTTGGCTTTTTTACTGAAAAATGCCTTTTAGCCTTTTTCACTTAAAAATGCCTTTATTGTGTTTAATTTTAAATTGATTTAATAGTTTTATACACAACATATTATGTATAAACGGTACAAATCGATAAGATTTTCTAAAGACTGTGTATTGACGACTGTTAATTATTTTTAATGGGTTTTATTAACTGCGATATTTACTGATATCACTAAATACTTTATCGAGTATTTGGTATGGCCAGTTAATTTAACATTTATAAAAGTAACCATGCTACCTATTTATAGATTAAAATATGTGTATGTACTTACTATAGATTCAAAATTGTTCGTCAGTCCGCCACGATTACATTTTCTATGTACAAAAATATTTTAAGCACAAACCGTCAACGTTTTACTGAAGACAGTTTATCTAAGTACATGTTAGTGATTTTTAATACACAAAGTTAAATATACAAACTATTTAATTTTGTAGTACATTTTTTTTGTAATTGTTTTTTTATTTAAATTAAATTCTTTTTTTTTGCCTTTTTTGACATTTTGAATGCTTTTTTTTTACTGATTTTATTGTCTTTAATTTCGAACCCTAATTATAAGTTAGTGTTAGTACTATTAGTATATAGGTATAAATGACTATTATAAGCTGTTACGAATAACGCAAAAACAAAAAAAAAAATTAATTTTATTTAATTAATTCAATAAATTAAAAACAATGAAAACTAAATGAAAATAATATAATAAATATATCATTTTCAAAACATTAATTAACTTGGCGGGCCGGATGCGGCCCGCTGGTCATAGGTGGGAGACCCCTGTTTTAAAGTATCAGAAACCATGGTATCGGGGTTGATTGTATCACTCCGCTTATTAACTGCATGGCATTTTATAAATGTCTCAACCTTTCCTAGTTTCCTGAATGCTCGGTGGATATGCATGTACTTAGAAATAATAATTTATAGCTGTCTATAGTAGTAATAATAATTTGATTTTATATACATAGTTTATTTTTATTATTTATAGCTGTTAAAATATGCTCACCAAAAGATTCAAGAAGAAGTTTAAAGTTTTCTTCAAGGTTTTCTTCTAATGAAAAAATTGAATCTGAAAGGAGTTTTAATTTGTCAAGTGAATTAAATGGTGTGTTTCCTTTATCTCAAACATCAGTGGTTTCTTTTAATCTGGATGATAATAATGAAAATGAAGTATATTATATCTAAAGTCCTTTACCATTCTGATCAAATTTATATTTATTGTTTATTTATTAATTTTTAGGCACAACCTAGTACGTCTGTGTCTATTACCAACAATAAAAGATATTTAAATGTTGAAGATCTATTTGGAAACACAGATGATATTAATTTTGAAGATGAAGAATGTAAGTTTTCAAATATTAGTATAATCATTATATATTATGATAAGTAATAATAATAATAATAATAATAATGTATGATTTAAAATGTATTTCTTATTTTTATGGTCTCAATTTGAATTCAAAACATGACAAAAAATAAATGCATTTAATATTGTCAGCAATGGTTTTAAAAACTTGTTGTTAACACATTTTCAATTTTATTTGTAGTGGAACCTGTATTAAAGCGTCAAAAAGTAGACCCACTATCTGACAAAGATATTAAACAGCAAGATCTAATAAAAAAAATTATTGATGAAAGGAAAAAATTCAAATCTGGAAAAAGATCCAATTTTTTATCATCTGTCTCTTACAATAGTTTAAAGTAATTTTTTAATTATTTTATAAAAACCAAAAGGCTTATATTTAAAGGATGTATTGTATTAACTATTTTACTTAAATAATATGTACCTAAAAATATTCAAAAAAAAAATTGCATCTTATATGTATAATATAATTAAGTGCATGCTTTGCTGTTGTCACGAGTTTTCACTGGAACTATCGAACCAATTCACTTGAAATTTAACGTTGATGTTCATTGAGTCTCAGGAGCATACATAGCATGCTGTATTGCTGTCACATTATTTCCTAGAGCACCAGCAGTTCCTAAAGAACTTTGAAGACAATTTTTGAACTTTTCATTTCTTGTTGTGGTTGAAAAGATTATAATGTTTGTTCTAATGGGGATATGAGGTATGCTTTTCTGAAGCTCTTGAAAGCAGCTTTCCAATGGTATATTAAGTTTTGTGGTTTGCTACTGGTTTATCTATTATTTTTTGGACCTCACAAAAATATGCCATATAAATTGGCCATTTTGTACAATTCATGTACATATCAATGACTGTACTTGTGATCTATTAATTCTAAAGTTGAATGCAAGCCGCAGGTATTAATACAAATTGTAATATTTCAAATTTTTAAATGACATATCAGTTGGTTGTATTGGCTTTATCTCGGGGTATATACATTTTCTCCTTTTCCACATCAGGTCATTATTGTAGCTTCTATTATGTTTTGTCTATTGAATTATTTAGGTAGATTAAGATTTTTCAAAACCATAACAGATATTTTAATTTTCAAATTAAAAGTATAAGGTGATAATCCTGATACCTACTTCTAATGAATTAAGAAATTTCATAGAATAATTAATTGCATTATCAGGATTACAATATATAGTGAAAACTAATAGCTGGACATTCCCAATTGTATCAGCTATTCAGTGGGTATATGGTTCTTATATCAGCTATTTATATTTATTTGCAAATAAAAATCAACACTTCATAACAATGTTTTATTTTTCATTTTAATTAAACTACTCTTAGATATTTACTCGTTAAATAAAATATTTTTTTATGTACATTTATTGTATTACATGTTTCTAGTCATACTCAGCCATATGAAAGTGTATCGAGAAGAGTTCCATCATGGTCTTTTTTCCCTGCATGTGACGGTGAAAATCAAAGAGTATACATTCGTTTTCGATCTGCAGATGCTGTACACGAAGAAGTATTTTAAACATATTTATCACAATTAAGAACAAATACTGTAGTATGAACTTAATTTAAAATCCTTATAACTATTTACTATGATTCAGATATCAAGTTTATCATGGCATACAAAATCAGTACAGTTGCTTTCAGACCCTGTTGATGAAATGATTGCACGTGCTTATGAGAAGGTTTCATTGTTTATTTATTACTTACATTTTATGAAAGAGATTCAAAGAGTAATGCCTGTTTAATTTCTAAAGTAGAGTTATTTTTTTCTACAAAATGTATAGAATTTGTTATAAAGATATACAACTATTTTTCAATGTAGTCGCCAAATCATTTGATATATTTTACTTAGGGATCAGCATTTATACCAATTCAAAATATTTTCTTTGTCCTCTTCATAAATTATAAGACAGTTAACATTGCCTATCAATGCAGCACAATACTGCAAAATCCTCAACAAATGAAGACAAGCGATAAAAACAATAGATAAGGAATGTCAAAAACTGTTGGTCTTTTTCATTACTGTGCTTATTCTGACACTGCACGGCTGACAACTAATCTTCTTAATTTGTTTGGGTAAAACGTTCAGAACTATCAACTTAATAGTCCTGACTTTGCAGCATCTGATTTCAAAGATGCGAGACAGAAGCTGGTACTAGGTATTGATAATGTATGTATTGAGTAATATGGCGACTGCGTTGAAAATTGTTGTATATTTTTATAACAAATTCTATAATTTATGAAAAAAAAAAAAATAATTGAAAGCGGTTAAGTGGATTTCGCTCTGCTGTACAGTAGGTTACAAGTGGGTAAAACACTGCATAATGGATTGTATTAAAATTTAAATTCAATGATAATATAATATCATTGTATACTAAAAATGATTCTGAGCGGACACGGTTTGTCAGTCTGGATATTTTATATTATTATTATTTATTATAGGCTGTAAGTTGAATTAATATTATAAATTAAAACAAAATAAATAAGTTATTTTTATTCTCATTTTTATTTGTGTCTGTGCTGATAAACAAAGCGTTAGAAATTAAAATTCTGTTTTTAGTGGTTTTTTGTAATTTGTTGGTGGTTTTTCCAGTGGTATTAAATAACTATTGAGAAAATCAAAAAATGACCTCTTCCATCTTGATCCAATTTGCTAAAAGATAAGATATTATATGTTTAAATCGAAGCACACCCACCTTCTGGTAGTAAAATAAACACCATTGTAAAACCACTAGCTTCCTCGCTCCGCTCAGAATCTAAAACTCAAATTCTTAAAAATTTGCTATACTTTTCAAATTTAATTTGTATCGTAGATTTTTAGTAACCAACATTTTTCATATAGATTGAGAATAATGAAGCTATACGATCAGGAGTGAATCAAAATGGTGTTAGCATCTTGGATAATAGTATCGATAACACAGCAGAATTGTGGGTTCAGAAGTATAAGCCAAACAGATATTTGGATTTGTTAAGTGATGAAAGTACTAATAGAATGCTATTGCAATGGCTAAAAATATGGGATAAAGTAGTATTTAATAAAGAAGTCAACAAAAAAAGAAAAGTTATTGATGTTTATGACAAATCAGCAGGTATGTTTTTAATAGCTTACATAATATTTGTATAATATAGAGGGTCTTCCAAATGTCCTCTAAAAAAACGGTGGGGATTATGTTGGTTCTTATTCGATCCAGTGGCACATAACTCTATATCAAAGTGTTGCAGTGTCAACAAATATTTAGGATGGGTGGTGGTGGTACCTACAAGCTAATAATTATGCTTATTTTCAATTTTTCAATTAAGGTAATGTTGTTGGTATGGTTATTAAGTGTAATGTAATCAGGTATTTCTAATATAATACATGCAAGAGTGTACACTCTTAGACTTCATAATTACTTATTCATTACTATCTATATTTTATGTACACAAAAACAACCATACCAAGTAGTTAGTACTAATTGACTATATTCATATTTAATCAATAAGAGTTATACAAGCCTTACTAATATACTATAAAGGAATAGGTATTTTTTTATTATATTTTATAATCTATATCATTTAATTATCAAATTTTTAGATTTATTGTGGAGCAATTTTTTCTAAGATAAAAGTTAGATAATGTAATACAAGGTATCTAGGTTCCTCGTAAGTTATTAATTATTATTATTTATTTATTTATATAAAATCAACGGGCCAAAACCCTTTAAGAAAGAAAGAAAAACATTACATACAAATTGGCACAATATAAAAACTAATAGACAAGTGTTAATAATAAAAGTAAAAGTAACAAGAAATACAAAATTTTAGTCCTTAAAACAAAACTATAAAATAAATAATTAGGCACTATGTTTTAAAAATAACAAAGCTTAAGATTTAAATACTTGACGAGACAAAACGAAAAATTCTAAGACTGTGAGATTCTAATGGCGTTGAAAATGGCTCTTGAAAAAAATGAATTTTTTCGCACTATTTGTATTAAAACTAGATATATGGAACAAATTAGGGTAGTGATGTCGTATGCAATCTACTAAACTTGTTTTCAAGTAGTACGCGATCTACCCAAATCTACCAAAAATAGTATTTAATTTCCGTATTATTTTTATCTTACAAATATTATACAAGTATTATTTTTATAAAATACCTTATACTAAAAATAACTTATCCTATGACCTACTTAAGGTGGTATTGTATAGCAAGTCGAGGGATATTTTGAGTTTAGCGACGTCGCCGAGAAGCGTAGCGACAAGTGCTGATAACTGTGTAATCACTGACCATATACTATGACATAATTTACCCTGTAACCGACCTAAGGTGGTGTTGCATAGCAAGTCGGGGGATATTTTCGATTTACGGAGCGCAGCGACGAGTGCTGCTAACTGTGTAATAACAGCCCACATTATACAATCGTTTTTGAATTTTGAATTTTTTTTATTGAACCATAAAAGGGAAGTCGTATAAACTTACAAATATAAATCGTAAATTATCTCGCTCGGAATAACCAGTAGATCGCCTATTTGGGTGGATCGCGTACGACATCACTACCCAAGTCAGAATTTTGTGTATACCTACTAGGAATTCTAAATCCAATTAAATATGAAATAGCTGGGCAGTTTATATTATTATTTAAAATATCATAAACAAATATTATATCTATTAAATCAAACCTGTTGTTGAGAGAGTCATATACCTATAGGGTCTTGAACCTAAAGGAAATAGTCTCTGGAGATAGTACAATAAGTAATAAAGGCAACTCTTATCAGAAATTTATACTGAATATTATTAAGCTCATTTGAGTAAGTTGAATAATTATTAAACAAAATGAAAGAGCCAAATTCTAGGTTTGATCTAATTAAAGAAGTATACAAATTTTTTAAACATATATGATTTTTAAAGTCCTTAGTATTTCTATTAATAAAACCTAACATTTTATACGCCTTATTTATGATTATACAATAACTTAAAAACATAAAAAAAACATACAGGTCTTAATATTGTTCCTAAGCGTTTGAGAATTACATTTGGATGAAATTATATATTTATATAAAACTAGTAATTTAAATTATTTATGTAGTTTAAAATATATTATTCTTGGAAACTTTTACCATATTATAATATGCTTTGTATTTGACAAACAAATTTATAGCAAAACTATACAATCCAATTAGTTTTAGTTTGTTCATAATGTATCTACTAAATTTAAGTACACTTAATAAACATGTTAAGACAATGTATGATGTCCCTCAGTCTATAAAAATAATTTGGTAATGCCAATGGGTTTCCATTTTGAATTTATATTTTTGCCACACAACTTGGAATGAACCTTGGAGTCATTATTGTGATCCCCACTGTACATGCCACACAATATTTTGAAGACCCTGTATAAAGTATTAACAGTCAAATCCGCTTAATTGGGACACATCGGGCGATGACCTATTTGTCCCCATTATCCCAAATGTCCCGATTAACCGAAGAATTTTACATGCAATACATTCATTCGGGACTGTTATTAATGTCCCCATTAAGCAGGTGTCCCCTTTAAGTGGCTTCCCCTTTAAGCGGATTCTACTGTACATTATACGTAAACTGGATAAGGATTATAGAAAATAGAAATATTAGAAGAAAAAAGTTATCTAGTATTTACTTATTTCAATATCATGTGTTTTATTAGTTTTAAATTTAATACAATTTATACAGGAAATAAGTTTACAAAAAAGAATCAAACCTTGGATGAAGGGTTGGATGAAAATAATTGTCCTAAGTATAAATTAGCATTGTTATGTGGACCACCTGGTCTTGGGAAAACTACTTTAGCTCATTTGGTAGCTCGACAAGCAGGTATACTATTTGTATAATAGTCATATAAACATTTAATTTTATATTTACATTATTTATACTATTAGGGTACAATGTTGTTGAAATGAATGCTAGCGATGATCGTAATCTAACTTGTTTTAAAAGACAACTTGAAGCAACTACACAAATGTGTTCTGTGATGAGTAATGATTCAAGGCCTAATTGTTTAGTTTTGGATGAAATTGATGGAGCACCTGTAGTAAGTACTAAATATATAGTTAATATATGTCATGGCCCAGGGGTCGCCAAGTGCCAGTGGACAAACTTAATTTGGCCTGTAGACAAGATATTTATTTTTTAATGAATTAAATGAAATTTACAGTAGTATCTAAAAGCGAGAGGGGAAAAAAAATAAGGAAAAGTGTAAATTTTTATACAAAATTGTATTTCAACAGATTTGACAGAAATTTGCAAATTAATTTGAGATAGAAATTCATAAAAATTTTTCTTTTTATATCTAAGATTTGAAAATATAATACAAGATTCCCATGAGTTTGTCTATTTTTATCAACAAAAAAAAATGTCTACCGGAAAGTCAAATTAAATTTTTATAAGTTTTATAAAGTTTGAAATTAAATTTTTTACATCACTTTTACATCACTTACATCCCCATTCAATTTCTCAAGGGGCATTTTCTTATTTTGTTGTAATTCAAAAACTAATAACTGTAGATACTTGAAATTTACACTATATGTTTATTTTATTAATTATTAAGGTACTTGAATTTTCAAAATATTTTGACTTGTTTTGTGTTGTTTACAAACATTTTAAAATTTAAGTTATTTTAGTTTTTTTTCTCTGAATGTCAATGAAATTTTATTTGTTGGGTCAAATAACTTGAAAATTTAATACAAGATTCCTCATACGTTGTTACACTATCAGTTTAAAAATATTAAAAATAGGCATAGAGGCAAGATTTTTTTATAAGCAAGTTCTAATTTTGGTAACATTTATAAAATGTTCAATTTTTATAGCCAAGAATTGAAAACTTTAAACAAGATTCTACATTAATAGTTCATTCTGTAACCAAAAAATCTAAAAAATATATAAACACAGTTTTCTTTTATAGTTATTTTAAGTACAAATATGGAAAAAATTACATATTAAAACTAAGAATAACAATTTTAGTTATTTTTATGTAATTTTAAAATATTATTCGTGGGTAATTGAAACTTTTATAGTAGGTATAATATAATTGATATTTATACATACTATGACATTTTAAAATGCATTTTTTTTTGACAAAAATTAATTTAACCTACTGTAGTACTAATGTCTGGTAGTAGAATAAATTATTTAATCACAATAATATCATTAAAATCCTAACCTACTTAGTAATATTGTAGGCTGGCAGACCGTCTTCGCTTAGAATCTTTTTTCATATATAATAACTTTATATCATTGAATTGAAATTTAATATGTCCATTACAGTGACTCTCTAGACACCTAATGTACAGCAAGTGTTAAACACTTGCTCGCATTTTTGATTACTACTTTATTTTCATTGGACAAACATGAACATTCAATTTTGATTATCTCTTCTTAAATTTCTATTTTGGCCCTAAAAAATATTAAATTGTGATCTCTGATTTACTTAAATAGCCAATAATAATACTACTATATTTAGTTCTATGTTTTTTACTGTTTGAAATATGTTATATTTTATTATATGAATGACAATTACGTAAATAAAAATAGCATATTTTTTACATATTTACGTTATTGTGTAATTAAGAAATTTAATCAATATGCTCTTGAATTTTTTGGTTGGTATTATATGGTAATTACAATATGTATTATAACTACCTTGGTCTTCATAAAAATTGCCATTTTGTAATGAAGCAGCATGATTTTATAATTGTATGTACATAGAAGATAAAAAAAACAATGGTTAACATTTAACAATCATATGCCATAAAGTTCTTTAAAATTTAAAATTGGTAGTTTAATAAAAATGATTGGTTTAGTTTTGATGCATTGTTAAATATTATTATTTATTAAATAAAAAATTGATTGATTTTACATTTTCGGTCAATACCTAACAACAAAATATCTGTTAAAATTGTTTTCAGGCCTCTATAGATTTTCTAATAAAATTTGCTACTGAAAAACGTGCGACTCGTAAAAAAAAAACCGATAAAAAAGAAGAAAAAAGTTCCATATTGAAAAGACCAATAATTTGTATATGTAATGATGTTTATGTACCTGCTTTGAGAAATCTAAGACAAAATGCTTTTGTATTAAATTTCCCCCCTACATCTTCTGTTAGGTAAGTTTTATTATAATAACCATGTTCTTATTATAACATAACAAAATAATAATATTTTTGATTAGATTGGTTGAAAGATTAATGGAAATATCAAGTTATGAAAACATTAAAACAGATATGGGTGCAATGACTGCACTTGGCACCAAGACAAATAATGATATAAGATCATGTTTGTCAACATTATCGTGTTTTAGAAATCAATCAGTACACTTATCACATGTTAAAAATGCAAATATTGGCGCAAAAGATATGCAAAAAGGTCTTTTTACTGTATGGCAAGAAATATTTCAAATAAAAAAAAGGTACTATTAATAAACTCTAATACATTTAATTTGTATAGTTAATAATTGTATGAATGTTTAATTGTATATGTTTATCTTAGCTGTTTTGAGAACAATCCAAATAGTACAAGTGATGGTTTTTCAAGTCATAATAATGTTATGAAAGACAGGTAAAATAATATATTTGGTTTTCTATAAAGTTAAGGTTGTAAGAAAATTATTCATTGATTTCAGATTTATAAAATATTTAGTTATAACACTGTCACTTATCTCTTTAGTTCATCTTTACAAATTAAGGATACTAATCATAGGCATGCGCACGGGTGTAGCAAATGCTGCTTTCGCTGCATCTGACAATTTATTTTGGATTTAATGGGCTGGTAGATATTTATTTGAAAGGTAGAATGAATAATTTTAAACATATTGAGTTTATTATTAAATTAAAATATAAATGTTCAATGTTATTCAAATGAAAAATGATAATACTATTTTATCAATACACCATTACACCAAGAAGATACACCAAAAGTTACAAACCCAGGTTCTGTACACAAATGGCTCGTTTGGTTAAAACAGTATTACATTTTTTCAATTGTCTTAAAATGTTTGTGACAATTCCAGTGACTAGTTGTAGCTATGAACGTATAGTTTTTCAAAACTCAGCTTTATAAAAACCAAATTAAGAAATACTATGTCACAAGACAGATTGGATGCTCTTCTTTTTTGTATGTAGAACAAGAACTTTTAATTTGTATTGACTTTAATGATGTAATTGATAAGTTTAAGCATTTGCTACCTAGTAATCGCAGACTTATATTGTAAGTCTATTTATTTATTTTTCTTTTACGTTTACTTAACTCTTAAGAGTTACAATATTATAACTAATGTATGATTATTAAATACCTATTATTAATTAGGTGCTAGGTACTATAATGCTTATAGGTGTTATTTTATTACCTATGTGAGTAATATAGAGTAATATATTATAATACATGCAAATAGTACCTATTACTTTTTATTTACAATTTACTATATTTCTTATAACCATAATAGGCATAGTCGTAGACTGTATAGTGATTAATTTATATGGGGGAGGGGGCTATATAAAGAAAATAAGTGGGCTGGTTATTGTTCTTTAGGGCCGGTTAAAAATGTATGCGGCACCCCACAAAATCCTGCGCACGCCTATGATACTAATATAATATTAAATTAAGATTATTATTGATTATTATTATTCTCTCAAAAATTTCAGTTTCTTGTGTTTTAGAATAAGTATTTTGGACTTAAAATCACTTTTGAATTATTTATTATAGATTTGTGACTGGTTTTTGCTTAATTTCATAACTGAGAAAAAAAAAGCTAACAACCTATAGTTTACTGTCTTTTACTGAATATAAATTATATGCTTAAAATGTTTTTCAAGAAGATAATTTGGCTTTATAATTTCAATTTATAAAGGAAATGCACTGCTAAAAAAATACTTCAATGCTAGACAGAAGTGTGCCCCAACCCCCACCATTGAGTACTCCCCTGCTGCCAGAGTTCAAATACCTATGAATTGTAATTGTAATAAAATTAACTTTGAAACTTGACTGCATTGAATTAATAAATACTATTATACAAATACAATTAATTTCATTAATGTATGTAAACTATAATTAATATTGTTATTTTTATAATAGCATTGATTGGTATTTATATTATAAAACAAATTGTTATATATAATGTTGTAATAGAAACTTATTAATTTAGAAAAGACAAATAAATGTAGTATATTTTAATTTTTTTTAGAATAAACAGTGTCTTAAAAACTGTCCAGAGTTATGGAGACTATGAAAAGCTTTGTCAAGGGATTTTTGAAAATTATTTAATCCTGAAGCCCAAAGATTCATCATTAACAAATGTAAATTAATTATTTACTATACATTTTATGTTATATTATTATTAATTTATTATTGTTTAGATTGCTGATGGCCTAGAATGGTTTTGTAATTTTGACAAGACGATGCATGTGATTAATTCTTCTCAAAATTACTCACTGTTTCCTTATTTGCCATATAATTTTGCTACTTGGCACTGTTTATTTGCTACATTTACATGGCCTAAAATTACTTACCCAAGTGCTGCATATGAAGTGAGATATATTTTTAATGGAATTATATTAAAATTGTTTAATAGGAAAATCTTGCTCCATCAGAATTATTAATTATTACTTATGTTAATTTGTCAAAAAATATAATTTACTATTTCCTTATCTATTTGGATAATTTTTAAATTGAAAACTATACGTACAATGACTCCTATGCTTCATGATGTGTCTTTCACGATTGTTTATATTAATTAGGCGACAATGAAAAAAAACAAATTTAAACAAATTATGGATGAGTTAATGTCTGGTATCATCCCAAGTATTCGAACCTTTCTACACCGGGATCAGGTTTTATTGGACACTATGCCGTTACTTATGCATATTGCTATTCCAAATCTTAGATCTGTAAGTATAAACACTTAATAAATTTAAACATTTGCTAATAATTTTATAGTTTCTACTAAACATTAATAATTTCATTTTTGTTTCATAGATTAGTACACAATTGTTTACTCAAAAAGAAAAAGAGGACCTTGCAAAAGTGGTCAATATTATGATTGATTATGGCTTAAATTATTTTCAAGAAAGAGATGCTGATGGGTCTTTTAATTTTGTACTCAATCCGTGAGTAGCACATTATATTAAATACTTGTTGAAGATGTAGACAATCTTTTTTATCTCTGTATTAATTATTTAATTTGTATAGTAAATTAAAAAAAGGTGCTCTGCTGTACAGTAGGTTACAGTAGGTTACAAGGGGGTCACTGTATAATGGATAGTATTAGATTTGAATTCAATGATATATCATTGTATAAGAAAACCGATTCTGAGCGGAGACTGTATGTCAGTCTAGGTATAAGACGTATTGTATACTTATCTATGATATTAAAACAAAATTGACCTGTAATAGGTACCTATAATAAATTCCAAATTAATCATATCACAATAGCCATTAGGTACTTATAACTTGTTATACATCAACAACAAACCCTGATACTATAATAGTATAATAGATATATAATAGTATGATAGATATATAATAGTATATTTTAGAAGTTTCAATTACCCACGAATAATATTATACAATCACAACAAAATAACTTAAATAGTTATTTGTAACGTGCCAACCACTTCAACTCAGTTTTGATTGTATTTTGAATAAAATAACAAGTTGATGGTATAATGATAGTTTATTTGTATTTATTTAACACGTAATAGTTACAAACATTGAATTTACCACATTATGTTAAATATTCAGTTAGCCAAAGTTCATCCATATTAGGATGATTCTTTAGTCTGCTCATGCATAACATAACTAATATTAAATATCAAATTTATCCATTGTCCAAAATAAATGTTACTGATTATAAATATAATTTAAATGAAAAAAAAAAAATGTTTCTCTTAAAATACAAATTAAGTTTAAATTTTATTTAGCAATAAGCAATTGACATTAAATTACTTATTTATTTAAATTTAATTTTGTTTCTCAGACTGGAGTCTAATCTACAGTTCATGCAATAAATATAAATTTAACATTGATACTAAAAAAGAGATATTAATAATGTATTACATACAAAATACAAAACAATTAATCCAGTCAATATTTAATACTGCATTATATTATTATATTATCATTAGTTCGTAGTAACTGAAAATCTGTGAAATCGGATTTCAGCCAACGTGTTATACAATTATTTAAATTTTTAATATTTAAGTTCAACAATTTTCAGGCAATTTCAGGAAATCAGGTATTGCATTTCAGTAGGTGTTTTATTGTTAATTGTTTGTGAGTAAAATGGATAAGTAATTTATGTTTTAAAGATAAATTATTGTGGCTTTGTAATACAGTTTTGAAATGTAAACACTCAGACATTTTTGTATTAGTTTGTATGCATATTTGTATATATGTATGCATTAATAAATCCTTATTAAGACGATTCTTAACAGAGAATTTTGATTAAATTACAATATCTTTAAAATATTTTCACAAGCCCTACAACAGCCATTAATTGTTGTTTTATTATTCAAGTATGAAATAAGCCAAGAAGAGCAGATGATCTGATTTTTAAATGTTGAATTAGATAGTGCAATGTACATAAACTTCAAGTTTATTAATATAATAAAAATAACTATTTTTATATTTTTGTTCAAAAAATTATAAATATTTATTTGAAATAAAAGCCATGTAAAAAATAAATAAATAATATTGTATCCTACATTTTTTAGATGTGTAGATGATGCAGTAAAATTTCCTGGATTGGAAACATTTCCAACATCTAGCTATGCTACTAAACAACTTATTTCTAGAGAAATAGAATTGGAACATTTGAGGAAGAGAATGTCCCATGGCGAACTAAATAATATCATTGTAGAACCTGATGGGTTTGATGAAAATGAAAAAAATGTTTCTACTCCAAAAAGTGTAAAAGGTCAGTGAATTTCTTATTGTAATCATATTTTGTCAAATTTTCAAATTTTATATGATCTTTAAATAATTTTACAAAATAGATTTTTTTTGTTAGTATGAATCATAAATATAATATTGATATTTAAAACTAAAAAAAAAACAAATATGTAGGTATCATATTCTAAAAGTTATTAATATTCATTAGAGAAGCCGAAATTAAAAAATATTAATTTTTTTCATTCCCAAATTTATAAGTATTTTGATGAAGTTAAATGAAAATTATTGAATCCCCCGGGTCCGGACCCCCCCAGAAAAAAATATAATATAATATAATTATTACATCGTAACTCGTATGTATTTTTTTTATATTATAAACTTGTAGGTACCTAATATTTAGACCCCCCCCCCACAAAAAATTTCAAAATACGCCACTGTGCATGCATTTATAGATATTTAATTAATATATTGACTATTTATAAACAATATAATAATAGTAATAATTGTATTATAATAATTATAACTACATATAATTATTGTATTAGGTGCCAGAAATAAGCCAGTAACACCTAATCATTTACAAAGACTTACACCCAAAATTGTTGGTTCTACAAAAGTTACTGTAAGTATAATAATTATTTAAAATGTTAAAGAATGGAAAATATTTTTATTTTTAATATTAAGTTTGAAAAACTATGGATAAAATCATTTTTTGAATTACCTCCCCACCTGCCACCTTTTTGAAGAAATGTTCTTAACTTTCATATATTAATTAATTATAAAATAATACATATAAATGATGTAAAATTGAATTACCAATCAATATAGATATAAGTAAAACTATTTTCATTTTAAAATGTACCATTAATAATATGTAATAGTTTTTAAAAAAAGGTGCAGGATGATCTTTGGAATTTCAATTAGCTGATATCTCTGTAAATGTTCATAGTTTTTAGTTTTTTTCGAAAACTACGAAATTTTTAATATTTTTATAGTTATTAATATTTATTATATTTGTACCCCTCCTTTAATTTTTAAGACAACATTGATCAGAAGTTAGAATCCTTGTGAATTGTTTGATATTTTAAAAGTTCATTTAGTTGGTACCGTTGGTTGATAATTAATATTATGTGGTTTAGTTTTGCGACAATTTGATAGAGGTACCTAATACTTTAGAAAAGTACCAGTCATGACTCATGAGTGAATAAATAATATTTTGAACTTTAAAAATTTTAAGCGTTATTTAAATGAATATTTGTTAAATGTCCGTTAACAATGGTTTTATAGAACAACTCTTGGCAGTATTTTCTTATGATTACAGTTTAATACTTGAGAGGAAGTTACCCGAGTGGAACATTTCGATTTGCTTCATTAATTTCAGTCCCTTATAGACAATATACCGCACAATGAAGTATACAGTCGAGTCCATTTATAATATATATTATATGCTCGTTTTTATTATATTCTACACATTTTTTTTGTAGATGTTTAAACATTTAAATATTTTTTTCCACTGTACGCTTTTAATATTAATTATTTTATTGTTTGTAGGTATTTAGTAAAGTTACTTATGTCAAATACTCAAATCCGTTTCTACGAACGTAATTTGTTATTTATAAATGCTTTAGATTTTTGCTAAGTAAATAATTAATCGATTTGCATATTTTATGCAATATATTATTATCTTAGTCAATATGGATAACTATTAACTTATAAGTGTTAAGTTATAACCATAAACTATTGTCGAATATTTGGAGCTAGAACTTTGTGTGTGTGTATATATAAATACCTGAATTTAGCATTCTATTGAAAAATCACATTTAAGTGGTCGATAAACGGTTTGTATAGAGAACCATCACGCCCCGATATATAGTCATTTAATAGTATTTCGTATTATTTTTGTGTGCTTGGACAGAACACCCTATTCGATTTTGTGGGTGGTGGCGTCGATGTTTATGTCCCTCTCTCTAAGAGGGTCGGCTACAACGATAACAATACCTACTTACTATAAAAGGGTGTAACTGTTTGACTAATAGCGTGTACCCGACAGTTATACCATGTATTCAGTATTTCCTAGTGATTTATTAACATGCAATCCGCTCCCACCCAGTATACACATGCTTGTGCCCCTTCTTGTTTCCGATTGTGTGGGATTATATAGAGTATTATTATAATATAGTACTCGTAACGATAATGATGGCTATGATGAACCGCATGATTGATATTATATTAATTTTTATTGAAATACGTCTGTCTGGCGAACGAACTCATCTCGTCGTTATGCTCTTGATATTTGAAGTAGTTTGCAATTTAAAAACGTTTCGCATCACCAGATTCTTTATGAATACATGTAATTACCATGAGAAAAAGAAAATAACATTAGAGTACTTATTATGTACTCAACTGCTAATGGACGTTTCGCTAATAAAATAACTTTATATGTAAATATTTCGTTTCAAAAATCATTCATTTTTATCACCCGTTAGTTAAATTAATTCAAAATACTCTATGAAGAATTTTATACATTTATGCGTTCAAACCTGTCACGCCACTGTTAAAATCAGTGGCGCATTTAAGGGGGGGGGAACTGGGGCAAATTCCCCGGGCGCCAAATTTTTGGGGCCGAAAAATGTTTATAGTGATACATTACCTATGAGAATTTTTTAAAAAAATATTACTTTTTTTTAAAACTAACTAAAATGACGGCAGCAGACATAAGGATATCTGCTAAGTTTTTAAAAAATGATTACAATACAGATTTGGGAACTTAATTTTCCAATGAATGTATTTATTTTGGTTGTTATTTAAAAACCATTTCCAATTCTCCTCCAAGCATACAAGACATGTTAGTGTTTATAAGAAAAAATGATTTAAACGATACCTTATACTTTAAGAGGTTAACTTAGGAGCTACACCCATACGCGATATCTACGTCTTACAAACTTATAACATAGCAAATTGTAGGTACGTCCAGCAGATCACATTTAGCTCTGTTAGTTTAAAAATTAGAGTGAATTGACATCCTATACAATTTAGAAATAAGAATATTATCTAGTGAAGTAGTGAACCTCATACGATTTTTAGATTCTGAGTGGAGCGATGAATGTATTTATTTTACGATGATATATTGATATCACATATGTATGTTTTTTTTTGTGTTTCTGTCATCATGGTTTGGGACAGTAAAACTGCTTCGATTTTCTTCAACAGTATCTTGTTCAATGGGAAAGCGAATCCTTTGCATTCAAAGCAAATTCTCAATAGTTTTGAAAAGCGCCGAGAAAATAACATAAAAATTAATGAAAAACGGGAATTTTTACGCAAAATCGGTTTTTGACAAAATCTATTTTGGTTTTTGCGTAACTTTAAAAGATATTACCTTAGATACATGAAAATTTCAATGAAAATTTATAATGTTATCATTTGCCATTTGCTTTACCTAAACCAAAAAAAATTCAAAATATTTTGACTTGTTTTGAACTGTTTATTTACATTATCAATTTTCAATTTATTTAGTTTCTTTTTCTAATGTCAATAAAATTGCATTTGTTGGGTAAAAAATCTTGCAAATTTAATACAAGGCTCTTAATATATTGTTACAATGACATTTGAAAAATATTAAAAGTCCATAGCCACAATTTTTTTTAATAACCATTTAAAGTACGCATTTTGAAAAAAAGAGTAAAAATCACGAAAATTTGCAAATTAATTTGAGATAGAAATTCCTAAAAATTTTTAGTTTTAAATCTAAGATTTTAAAAGGCCTAATACAAGATTCTTTATAAGGTTATCTACTTTTATCAAAAAAAAAATATCTATAAGAAAGTTAAATTAAATTTTTATGAGCGTTTTAAGAGTATTTTTTAAAACATTGGATATTCACTAGATTTCTCATGTAGCGATTTTCTTATTTTGTTGTAATTCAAAAACCGGCTAAGTGCGAGTCGGATTCGCTCACGAAGAGTCCTGAATCATCATCTATAAACATGTTGGCAACACTGCTTATATTATATATTTTAGGATTTTTAGTATTTATTGTTATACCAGACACAGAAGTCAGAAATACATAATCTGTGAAAATTTCAACTTTCTCACTTTCATGGTTCATGAGATACAGCCTGGTGACGGACGGACAGCGGAACGTTAGTAATAGGCTACCGTTTTACCGTACGGAACACTAAAAACGAATAACCGTAGACACTTGAGCATATGTTTATTTTATCAATTCCTGAACTTGATAATATGTAAAAATATTTTGAATTGTTTTGAGCTGTTTACAGATAATTTCAATATTAAATGTATATTTCTTGGAGGGAGGGGTGTTAGTAAAATGTTGCCCCAGGGTGCTTGATGTCTAAATGCGCCACTGGTTAAAATACTTTGTGAAATAAAAAGTTCGAGGTTGGATGGCACACCATTTGGGAAAAACCTTGTTAAACAATATAGACTTAAATATTCATCAAGAATTCGAAAATCATTTGATTTTGTTTTTTTTCGTGTAACTTAAAAATGAATAACCTTAGATAGGTACTTGACATTTTCACCAAATATTTTTAATATTATTTTTGATACATTTTAACATTTTAAAAATATTTTTACTCAGCTATTCTTAGACATTTTTAATTTTTGTTAGTTTTTTTCTATACATTTCGATAAAAAATGTTGCTGGGTCGAATAGATTGACAATTTAATACAAGGTTCCTCATAAGTTGTTCATTTACCAATTAAAAAAAAATCATAAATACTTATTATACCATATTATTAGTCACAATATATTTTTATACGTGTTTGAAGTTAGGATTTTTACAAAATTCATCAAAATTGCGAATATTTGCAAATAATTTTGTAGTTAAAATTAGAAAACATTTTTAATATTCATGCAACATACCCAAGGATTGAACATTTAATACAAAGTCCTCTATTAAAATAATATAGATTACCTTCATATTATTATAGCTATAGATTGATTGTGATTTTTATTCATAAACATATGAAGTTCAAATTTTAACGAAATTAGATATTTAAATTAAGTAGGTATACTTATAATAATTTTAGTTATTTTAAATTATTTAGTATTCGTGGACTCGTGGTACTTGAAACTTTTAATGTATATTATTATATTTTAGACACATAATAACAATTTCATATGCAATATTTCCACCAAAAATTAATTCAATCTATCATGAATTAATCAATTTATATTTGAATTCAAATTTAACACACACATTTTTGTGACAGTGCACTCGACATAAACTGTACATTAGAGCGGTTACTATACTTTACCTCTTATTTTAAATACAAAACTTTGGTAAAATATTTTTATTTATTTACTGCTTTTTTAAAGGTGATAAGTACATTGCAAAGCCTTATTTTACCTTCTTATCGTGTACTATAATAGTATAATTTAATCTTACATTGTAAATTTTAGGTCACAAATGACTAATTTATGAAGGGTTACTTGTGTCCAAAATAATTGGAATCAACATGGCTATATGGCATAAATTATATACATAGGGGAATAATATATTGTCTGTGTTGAAAAAAAATTTTAAATTAATGAATACAATTAAATGTAGGTACGTGTATTTGCCTATATATAGGCTATCGCTATACGATACGTAT